CCTAAAAACGTGTAATATATTATCGGTCATCTGCTAAATCTTGGCCGACGTTTATTCTATCTTAAATAATGTTCATAAATTTTTTCTTTTTTTAGTTTTGTTTTTTTTTAAAGTAGAACGTCGATTAAAGTAGAACGTCGACTGGTCGGATTATTTCTATTTCCAGCAGTCGCATTGGTTTCTCAAGTTACTCTCATAACCTTCCCACGACTAGACGGAATGTTGCTAAGTCAGAACATCGTATTGATTCGATAAACACTCTCCTAACTTTACTTCGAAAAGTAGGAAAATTTCCAACCGCGAAACTCGGATTGGTTTTGGAGGCACTCTAATTACTTTCCCTCGAGTAGTCGTAATATTTAGCGGTCCGACAGTCTCATTGGTACGAGAGGCATACGAATAACATTCCCTTGACTAGTCGGAATATTTCTAAGTCCGACAGTTGAATTAGTTTTTGAGATAATCGCATAACTTTCCTTAGACTAGATAGAATATTTCCAAATCCGACTATCGCATTGGTACCTGAAGACTTTCATATAACCTTCTTTCGAGTAAATGGAATATTATGAAGTGCCTTAGTTCGAGTGGAACTCTCATAAAATTTCCACGTCAAATCGGAAATTTAAAGGTCCGAGAGTTGCATTGGTTAGAAAGGAAATATAATAACTTTCCCTCGATTTTTCGGAACAATTCTAGGACAGTCAGTCGCACTGGTCCTTGAGGCACTCGCATTGCATTCTCTCGAATAGTCGGAATATTTCCAAGTTCGTCAGCCGCTTTGTTTCCAGAATCACTCGTATGACTTTCTCTCGACTAGTAAGAATATTTCCAAGTCCGACAGCCGTTTTGGTTTGTGAGGCAGTCAGATAACTTTCTTTCGACTAGTCGGAATATTTCCAATCCCGACAGTCGGAGTGTTATACAAATCACTGGCATAACTATACTTCGACTAATCGATATATTACCAAAGCCATCAGTCGCTTTGTTTCGTAAGGCATGCGCATAACTTTCACCCGACTAGTCGGAATATTTCCAAGTCCGACAGCGGCATTGGTTTGAGAGGCACTCGCATTACTTTCGTTCGACTGGTTGATATATATCTAAGTCCGATTGTCGCTTTGATTCGAGAGGGACTCGTCTAACTTATGCCCGATTAGTCTGAATATTTCTAAGCCCGACAGTCGCATTCGTTCGAGAGGCATTCGCATAATTTTTCTTCGACTAGTCGGAATATATCTAGGTACGACAGTCGCTTTGTTTCGAGAATCATTCCCAGAATTTAACCTCGAGAAATAAAAATGTTTTCATGACCAGCAGTCGTATTGCTTTTAGAGGCACTCGCGTAACTTTCCCTCGATTAGTCGGATTATTACCACGTCCGATAATCTTATTGGATCAAAATTCACTCGTATAACTTTCTCTTGAATAGTTGGAATATGTATATATCCGAGAATCGCATTGGTTCCACATGCACTCGTATAAGTTTCTTCTGTTTATTCGTATTATTTCCCTGTGTCAGAGTTTCATGGTTTCGAGATGCACTCGCATAACTTTCCCCGACTAGACGGAAAATTTCCAACTCCAACAGTTGCATTGGTTCACAAGTTACGCGCATAAAATTCCCTCGACTAGTCGGAAAAGTTGCAAATCCGACATCCGCACTGGTTTGAGAGGCTCTCGCATAACATTCCCTCGACCACTGGGAATAGTCCAATTCCGACAGTCGCTTTGTTTTACAAGTCATTCGAATAACATTCCCTCGACTAGTCGGAATATTTCTAGATCCGACAGACGCATCGGTTCGAGTGGCACGCGTATAACATTCCCTTGACTAGTTCCCTTGAATAATTCAAAGTTCGACAGTCGCATTGGTTCTAGAGGCATTCTCATAACTTTCCCTCGAGTAGTCGGAATATTTATAGGGCCAACTTTTGAATTTGTTCGAGAGACACCATCAGATCATTCCCTCGCTTAGTCTCAATTTTTCGAAGTTCGACAGTCCCATTGTTTCACAAGTCACTCACATAACATTTCTTCGACTAGACGAAATATTGATAAGTACAATAATCGCATTTGTTTTAGTTGCATTTTCATAACTTTTCCAGTTATAATCGGAATATTTCTAGGTCCAGCAGTCGCTTTGTTTCGAGATGCACTCGCATATCTTTCCTTCGACTAGATAGAATATTTCTAGATCGACACAACCAATGGTTCGAGAGGCACTCCCATAACTTTTCTCGTCTAGTTGGAATGTTTCTAGGTCCTACAGTCGCATTGTTTCGAGAGGCATTCGCATAATTTTCCCTGGAAGAGTCGGAATACTTTTAGATCCAACGTTTGAATTGATTCGAGAGACACAGCAGAACATGTCCTTGGATAGTCTCAATATTTCCAAGTCCGACAGTCGCCTTAGTTCTCAAGTTAGTCGCATAACTTTGCCTCGGGTATTCAGAATGTTCCCAAGAACAGCAGCTGCATTGTTTCGAGGGGCACTCGCATAATTTTTCTTCGACTATTCTGATTATTATCAAGTCCGACAGTACCTTTTTTTCGAGGGGTACTGGTATAACTTTCACCCGAATAGTCGGAATATTTCCTAGTCCGACTGTCGCATTGACTTGACAGGTATTCGCATAACTTTCCCTAGAATAGTCGAAATATTTGCAAGTCCTATAGCCGTATTGTTTCGAGAGGCACTTGCATTTCTTTCCCTCGAGTAGTTGGAATATTTCCGAGCCAGACGGTCAGTTTGGTTTACATGATACTCGCATGACTTTCTCAAGATTAGTCGGAATATTTCCAAATCCGAAAGCCGAATTCGTTCAAGGGGCACTCGCATAACTTTTACTAGACTGGTCGGAATATTTCAAGCTCGACAGCCGCATTGGTTTGTAAAGCACTCTCATAAATGTTCCTCGACTAGGCGTGAAATTTCCAAGTCCGGCTGTCACATTTGTACGAGTGTCACTCACATAACTTTTCCTCAACAAGTGAGAATATTTCCAAGTCCGCATTGGTTCCAGAGGCACACGTAAAACTTTCCCTCGCCTTTACGGAATTTTTCCAATTACGACAGCCGCATTTTTTCGTTAGGCACACGCATAACTCTCCCTCGGCTAGTCGGATTATATCCCAGACCGATAGTCTCTTTGATTTAAGTTACACTCGCATAAGTATCGCCCAACTAGGTGGAATATTTCCACCTCCGACAGCCGAATTAATTGAAGAGGCTCTCGAATTACATTCCGTCGAGAAGTCGATATATTTCCATGTCCATAAGACGCATTGGTTCGAGAGTCACTCGCATGAATTTCCCTCGACTAGTAGGAATATTTTCAAGTCCTACAGTTGCATTGGTACGAGAGACATTCGCATAAATTTCCCTCGACTATTCGGAATGTTTCCAAATCCGACAGTCGCATTGGACCACAATTCACTTGCATAAAATTCCCTGGACTAGCCGGAATATTTCCAAGTACTATAGACGTATTGGTTCGAAACGCACTAGCATAACATTCCCCCGACTAGTCAGGTTATTTCCAAGTCCGACAGTCGCATTGGTTTGTGAGGCACTCTCATATCGTTCCCTCCACTAGTTGGGATATTTTCAGGTCTGAACTCCGCATGGAATTGAGAGTTACTTGCATAACATTCTTTCGAAAAGTTGGAATATTTCCATGACCGATAGTCGCATAAGTTCAAAGATCCCTCACTTAAATTTCCCTCGACTAGTCGGTATAGTACGAAGTCCGACAGCCGCATTGAATCGAGAGGCACTCTCATATCGTTCCATCGACTAGATGGAATATTTCCAAATCTGGGAGTCTTATTAGTTCTAGTGGCACTCGCATAAATTTCTCCCGGCTAGATGGATTATTTCCACGTCTGACATCCAAATTGGTTCCAGAGGCATTTGCATAATTTTCCCTCAAATAGTCGGGATCCTTCCAAATCCGACAGTGGCAATGGTTCGGGAGTCACACTCAGAATTTCATTCGACTAGTCGGATTATCTCCAAGTTCGACAGCCGTATCGTTTCGAGAAGCACACGCATAACTTTCCGTAAAGTAGTTGGAATATCTCCGAGCCCTACAGCGGAATTTGCTCGATAGGCACTCGCGTAACTTCCCCCGAAAAGTCGGAATATTAACAAGGCCGGCAGCTGTAATGATTCGAGAGGCACTCGCATAAATTTTCCTCGACTAGTCGGTATATTTTTAGTTCCGACTGTCCCTTTAGATCGAGAAGCACTTGTATAACTATCACTCGGCTAGTCAAAATATTTCCAAGGCCGAAAGTTGCTTTGTAACCGGAGCATTCGAATAACATTCCCTCGAATAGTCGGAAAATTTTTCGTTTCGACATTCGCATTGTTTCGAAATGCACTCGCAAATCTCTCTCCCGAATAGTTGAACTGTTTACAATTCCGAGAGCCGCATTGGTTCGAGAGGCAGTCGCATAAATTTCAGTCGACTAGTGTGAATATTTCCAAATCTGACTGTCGCAATGGTTCAAGAGGCACACGCATATTTTTCCCTTGACTTGTCGGAATTTTTCCTAGTCCGACAGCCGCATTGATTTGAATGGCGCTCACATAACTTTTCCTCAAATATTTGAAATATTTCCAATTCCGACAGCCGCATTATTTCGAAAGGCTTCCGCATATATTTCCACGGACTAGCCGGGTTATCTCCAAGTCCGACAGTTGTATAGGTTTGAAAGTCTCTCGCATAACTTTCCCTCTACTAGTCGTAATATTTCCAAGCACGTCATTCTTATAGGCTCACAAGTCACTCGCATAATTTTTCCTCGATTAGTTGTAATATTTCCAAGTCCGACAGTCGCATTAGTTTGAGAGGCACTCACATAACTTTCTTTCGAATAATTGGAATTTTTCCATGCCCGACAATCGCATTGGTTCTCAAGTCACTCGAATAACTTTCGTTCGACTAGAACTAGAAATAGTACCTAGTCCGACAGACACATTGATACGATAAGCATATAATATCTCGGATTAATTATATGAGGTGATAAACGAAAATATGTTTCTCTGTGAACAAAGTAATAAATCTTTATTTTTTAATTACTACTTATTTACTATTTACAGTCTTACCTGTGAACAAAGAAACGACAATTTACGTTTATTATTCACACTGTCTAAATTTTATACTACACTCTCGTGCTATTTCTCTCGTCTACGTTCTATTTCCTACTGCCCGTTTCTCTTCCAAATCGGATCTGGTCGATTTGTAGGTAACAAAAGAATTTGTAGATAACAAAAGACAATGGAAGGGCTGGCCATGAGAAGCGCGGCAAATCTACCTGAAGAAAGTATACTTTCATACAAGGCACTTGCATAACTTTTCTTCGATTACTCGAAATATATCCAATTCTGACAGTCGCGTTAGTTCAGTAATCATTCGCATAATTTTTCCTCGACTAGTCGGAATATTTGTAATTCCGCCAGCCGCATTGGATCGAGAGGTACCGGCATAACTTATGCTCGACAAGTCGGAATAAGCCCAAGTCCAGCAGCCGTATTGTTTCGGGATGCACTCGCATAACTTTCTTTCGACTACTCGGAATGATTCCAAGTCCGACAGACGCATTGGACTGAAAGGCCCTCACATAACTTTTCATGACCAGTTAGCATATGTCCAAGTCCAGCAGCCGCATTGGATCGAGAGGCATTCGCATTACTTTCCCTCGATAAATCGGTATATTTCCAAGTCCGACAGTCGCATTGTTTTATGAGGTACTCGCATTACTTTCCCTCGACTAGACGGAATATTTCCAAGTCCAATAGCAGCAATATTTCGAGAAGCACTCGCATAACTTTCTTCCAACTAGGCGGATTATTTCTAAGTCCGGCAATCGAATTGATTCGAGTGTCACTCTCCTAACTTTCCCTCGACTAGTAAAAAGACTTCGAAGAACGACAGACGAATTAGTTCGATGGACACACGCAAAATTTTACATAGAATGCTCGGTATATTTCCAAGACCGACTGACGCTTTGTTTCGAGAGGCACTCGCATAACATTATCTCGACTAGTCGAAATTTTTCCAAGTCTAGGAGACGTATTGGTTCACAAGTTAATCACATAAATTTCCCTCGACTAATCGGATTATATCTATGTCTGCCAGTCGTATTGGTTCCAGGGGTATTCGCATAACTTACCCCCGACTAGTCGATATTTTACCAAGTCCTACAGCCGTATTGGTTCGAGAGGCACTCACATAACTTTCTGCCGACTAGTTGGAATATTATCAAGTATGACATCCGCATTGTTTCCAAAGCTAATCGAATAATTTTCCCTCGAATAATCGGGATATTTCCAAGTCCGACAACTGCATTGGTTCGACAGTAATTCGCATAACTTTCGCACGACAAGTTAGAATATTTCCATATCCGACAGTCGTTTTGTTCGAAAATCATTTGCGTATCTTTCCTCCAAATAGTCGGTATATTTCCTAGCCCGACAGTCGTATTTGTTCACATGTCACTCGCATAACTCTCTCTCGACTAGTTAGGATATTTTCAAGTCCGATAGCCGCATTGTTTCAATTTCGCTCGAAATACCCAAGTCAGATAGCCGTATTGGTCCGAGAGGCACTCACATATCTTACCCTATACTAGTCGGAATATTTCCTATCTGACAGGAGTATTGTTTCAAGAGGCACTCGAATATCTTTACCCCGATTAATCGGATTTATTCCACGTCCGACATACGTATTGGTTAGAGTGGGACTCGCATAACTTTCCGTTGACTACTCGGAATATTCCCAATTCTGACAGTCGCTTTGGTTCAGTTGTGATACGCATAACTTCCCTCGACTGGCCGGAATACTACCAAATCCGCCTGACGCGATATTTCAAGTGGTTCACTCGCATAAGTTTTCCTCTATTAATCGAAATATTTCCACGTCAAGCAGTCGCATCGGTTTACAAGTCATTCGCATAACTCTCACTCGACCAATCGGAATATTTGCTAGTACGACAGTCACTTTATGTGGAGTGGCACTCGCATAACATTCCCTAACTAGTCGGATAATTTCCATGTTCGACAGACATTTTGGATAGTGTTACTCGCATTACATACTCTCGACATGTCGGAAAATGTTGAAGTCCGGCAGCCGTATTGGATCGAGAGGCACTCGCATATCTTTTCCTCGATATGTCGGAATATTTCCATAGTCTGACAGTAGCTTTGCTTCGAGATGCAACTGCATAACTTTCTCTCGATTTCTCGGAATATTTCCAATTCCGACAGACGCTTTAGTTCACAAGTCACTCGCATAACTTTCTTTCGTCTAGTCAAAATATTTCCAAGTCCTACTGTCGCTTTGTTTCTAAAGGCATTCGTATAACTTTACCTCGAGTAGTCGGAATATTTCCAAGCCCGATAGTCCCGTTGATTCACAAATCACTCGCATAACTATACTTCGACTAGTCGCAATATTAACAAGATTGACAGTCTTTTTGTTTTGAGTCGCACTCATATAACTTTCCGTCGACTAGTTGGAATATTACCAAGTCTAACAGCCGCATTTGTTCGAGAGGCACTTGCATAAATTTCCCTTGATTAGCCGGAATTTTTCTAAATTCGGCACCCGCTTTTGTTTGTGAGGCAGTTGGATAACTCTCTTTCGAATAGTTGAAATATTTCAAAACTCGACAGTCGTATTGTTATACAAATCACCCGCATACCTATACTTCGACTAGTCGGAAAATTACCAAAACCGTCAGTGGCTTTGTTTCGACTGGGACTCACTTAACTTTCTCTCGACTAGTAGGAATATTTCCAAGCCCGACAGTCGCATTGGTTCACAGGTCACTCGCAGAAAGTTCTTTCAACTAGGCGGAATAGTACCTAGTCCCACGGTAGTATTGATCCAAGAGGCACTCACATAACATTCCCTCTACTAGTCGGAATATTTCCAAGTCCGCCGGCTGCTTTGGTGCCAGAGTCATTCGTTTAAATTTACCTCGAGTAGTGGGAATATTTCCAAGCCCGACAGTTGTATTGGTTGAGAGGCAATCAAATATCTTACCCTCTATTAGTCGGAATGTTTCAAAGTCCCACCGCCGTCCGAATCCGAGTGGTATTCGCACGACTTTCCCTCGACTAAACGAAATATTTACATGTCTGACAGCCGCTTTGGATCCAGAGACACTCACATAACTTCCTCGGACCAGTTGGAATATTTCCAAGTCTGACAGCAGCATTGGATTGAGAGGCAGTCGCATAAACTTCCATCGACTAGTCGGCATATTACCAAGGTCGAAATTCGCTTTGTTTCGAGCGGCACTCAGATAACTTTCCCCCGATTTGTCGGAATATTTCGAAGTACGACAGTCGCATTGATCCGAGAGGCTCTCGTAGAACTTTCCGTCGACTAATCGGAATATTTCCAATCAGTAGCATTTTTCCGTCAGCAGCATTGTTTCGAGAGGCTGATGCATGTCTTTCGCTCGACTACTCGGAACTTTTCCAATTCCAACAGTCGCAATAGTCAGGAGTCACACGCATAATTTTCATTCGACTAGTCGGGGTAGATCCAAACTCGGCAAACGTATTGTTACGATAGACTCTCGCATAAGTTCCCTTCGATTAGGCGCAATATTGCCATTCCGACCGCCGTATTTGTTCGAGAGGCACTCGAATAACATTCTCGCGACTAGTTGGAATGTTTCAAAGACAGATAGTCGCATTGGTTCACAAGTCATTCACATAACTCTCCCTCGGCAAGTCGGATTATATCCAAGACCGAAAATTTCTTTGATTGGAGTGGCACTCGCAAAAGTATCGCCAAAATAGATGGAATATTTGCACGTACGACAGGCGAATTTTTTCAAGAGGCACTCGCATTACTTTCCTTTATCAAGTCGTGTAATTTCCTTGTCCATAAGTCGCATTGGATCGAGAGTCATCCGCATAAATTTTCCTCGACTAGTCGGAATATATCCAAGTCCTACAGCTGCATTGCTACGTGAGGTATTTGCATAACATTCCCTCAACTGTTCGAAATACTTCCAATTACGAGAGTTGCTTTGGTTCACAAATCACTCGCATAACATTCCTTCGTCTATTGGAAATATTTCCACGTTCGGCAGTCGCACTGGTTCGAGAGGCATTCGAATATCTTTCCCTCGACTACTCGGAATTTTTCCAAGGCCGACAGTCGCATTGGTTCACAAGTCACTCGCATAACTATCACCGCACCTGTTGGAATATGTCTAAGTCCGACAGCCGCATTGGTTTGTGAGGCAGACGCATAATTTTCTTTCGACTAGTTGGTATGATTCCAAGCACGACAGTAGCACTGGTACACTAATCACTCGCATAAATATACTTCCACTACTCGAAATATTACCGAAACCGTGAGTTGCTTTGTTTCGAGAAGCACTTGCATAACTTTCTCTCGACTAGTCGGGTTATTTCCTAGTCCGAAAGTTGCATTGGGTCAAGTGTCACTCGCATGTCTTTCACTCGACTAGTGTGTATATTTCGAAGTCCGACAGACGCATTGGTTTGAAAGGTACTAGCATAAACTTCCCTCGACTAGGCGGGATATTTCCAAGTCCGGCAGTCGCATTGGCTCGGTTGTCAATCGCATAATTTTCTCTCTATTAGTCAAAATACTTTCAAGTCATACAGCCGAATTGTTTCTATAGGCACACGCACAACCTTCCCAAGAATAGTCGTTATATTTCCAAGTCCGACTTGATTCACAAGTCATTCGCATAACTCACACTCGTCTAGTCGGAATAGTTCCAAATCCAACAAACGCTTTGTATCAAATGGCATTCGCATACTTTTCCCTAAACTATTCGGAATGTTAACAAGTCCGGGAGCCGAACTGGTTCCCGAAGCACTAACAAAAATGTCTTCCGATTAGTTGGAATATTACCAAGTTAGACATCTGCATTGGTTCCGTAGGTAATTACATAACTTTCTCTCGACTAGAGGAGTGATTTCTAAGTTTAACATCCTCGTTGGTTCGAGGGTTACTCACATTTCTTTCCCTCCACAAATTGGAATATTTTAAACCCGACAGTCGTATTGTTTCTCAAGTCACTTGCACATTTTTCCCTCGTCAAGTCGGATTAGCTCCAAGTAGGACAGTCGCTTTGGGTCGTGTTGCACTCGCATATGTTTCTTTAGACTAGTCGGATTATTTCCAATTCCGACAGTCGCATTGGTTCACAAATCACTCACATAAATCTCCCTCGACTAGTCGGTATACTTCTATTTCCGACTGACGCATTCCTTCGAAAGGCACTCGCATAAATTTTTCTCGACTAGTCGAACTATTACCAAGTCCGACAGCC